TTAGCACTTTAGGCAAAGATGCAGGGGTTTATATAAAATGCATTAATTTCTAATACAGATTGAACTGTCTAAAACGGCCACCCACTGTCGAGGAGTCTCACACAGCGTCATTATCATGTAAAGAAAACTTTAGGGGAAAATTGGAAGAGGCTGTTTGTACAGGAGATTGTCTTATACAGATGGCCTTTAGAACAAGTTCGACTGTATTTAACAAAAGACGTGCAAACTAACAGAATTAAGCAAAATTGTTCCTAAACTGTTTTATTTATTACTGCTTTCCTCAGAAACAAGGAACTCGACATTAACAAAGGTATGACAGAATTTATGACGCTTAAGCCGGATGAGCTGGAGGACGCACATATCCCGTTTGGATTCTTGTCCGTGCCATCTGCCAAAGACCCCGAGTACGAAAAGAAATTCCCAGGTGAACGTCGTGTTATGTCCTTGTGAGTTGTGTATCAGACATCAACTGATGGCTGTCTGTAAGGAACACTTTCCTCTAGCTGTGTGTTCAAAAGTTTTTCTATCTGTTTAAATGTCTTTTTTCAAGCAGTGTGTTCCATGATTTTTCTGTCTTTTTTTTCAGTGTGCTCCATGATATAGTATCTATCGGATTTTCATTTCTTTTTCTAACTGTGTGAACCACAGTATTTCTATTGTTTTGTTGAAGGGGGGGGGGGGTATTTCTTTATTTTTCCAACAGTGTGTTCCGTGTTATTATTTATATCGGGGTTTTTTTATTATTTATCTTACAATGAGTTCCACGATAGTTCTATCGTTCTTTTTATTTTTGTTTCTTTCTTGCATTGTGATATTTTAATCGTTCTATTAATTTCTTTTCTCTAGCAGTGGGATTTCGTGATTTCTATCGCTCTTTTATTTTTTTTCTCTAGGTAAAGCTTCAGTCCTTCTCATCACCCTGGCTAACTGGGAGTGGTTTGAGGAGTGGAAGGACGAGAAAGTACGTCACCGCGGAGAGCGTTATGAGGGTATCAAGGATGTGGTGGGTCGGCGCATGTGGCAGATGTGTGTTGACACCTTCCCCCAGCTTGAAGGAAAGGTGAGTAGTAGTAGGTGCGACAGACAAAGTGAGTACTTCTAAGATTTAAACGGGCAACGTCAATCGTTCAAAGTAAGTAATTACGTCGCTAATTGGAACAGACGGCATCAATCAGTCATAGGAGGCTCAGACAGACAAAGTAAATAGAGTCAAACCTCGTTGTACCGCCAGCCCCGCTGTACCGCCAACTTCATGCTCGTCCCAAGGTAGGCGGTACAACGAGGTTTGACTCTATTTACTTTGTCTGTCTGAGCCTCCGATGACTGATAGATGCCGTCTGTTCCAACTACAATAGGTACTTACTTTGAACTATTGACGTTGCCTGTTGAAATCACAGAAGTGCTCACTTTGTCTGTCTGAGTCTGGGTCACTAACGATTCGTTTACGTCGTCTGTTCCAATCAAACTTACTTTATTTACTTTATCCATCCTCATGTACCTCTAGGGCGTCGAGGGGAGAAAGAGCTCCCTGTCTCTAGCAAGATTCATGGTCTGACAGGGTGAAATATTGTAGGTTCTCAGGGTATCCTTCACACCCTGGATCCAGGTCTTTCTTGGTCTTCCTCTTGCCTTGTACCCTGATACTTTACTGTAGTAGGCTTTACTGGCAAGCTGGTGAGGTGCTATACTTATGAGAAGTCCAAATCACCTGATTCTTTGCTTCGAATGTAGTGGAGGACAGGTGTTGTGCCTACCATTTCTCATATCTTGTTGTTTCTGACCATGTCCTGTCCGGTTTTATTGACGGCTCTCCTTAGACATCTCATCTCGCAGGTGGTTAACTTACGTTCCAGACTTTTGGTCAGTGTCCATGTCTGGCACTGGCAGGTGAAGGTGGGGATGAAGGTAGGGTTTATGAGCTTGGCTTTAGTCTCAATGGGGATGTTCGGATGTTTGAGGAGTGGGGCAAGCTGGTAGCTGACGCTGTTTGTTTTTCGTGCTCTCGTCTCAATTTCTCTGTTTTGACGTCCGTCTTCCGAAAAGATGCTACCAAGATACTTGAACTCAGTGGCTTGTTTCAGCAGATTTCCTTCGATGGTGATCTTAAGTTTGCCAGGTGTTCTGATGATTTTCATCATCTCCGTTTTGCTTTTACTAATCTTTATGTTGAGCTTTTCACATTGTGTATTTAGCATGTCTGTGTGCTCTTGAAGTTGCTCTTCTTTCTCATATGCCAGGCTTTGATCGTCCGCAAACAGTATCTCACTCAGGTCTATCAAAGCAGTTCATTAATGTAAGTAATTACTTACTTTGTCTGTCTGAGTCACTAACGATCTGTTCACGTCGATTGTTTCAGTGCGTCTACATGGAAGTGGGCACCCCGGTGACCAACAGCTACTACCTGGGCTTCCCCAAGGGCGAGATATACGGAATATGTCAGGGTAACGCCCGCTACACCGCCGATGCAGCCAGCACACTGAGACCCGAGACAGACATCCCGGGACTCTATATCACAGGTCATTATTGCTGTTGTTGCTGTTGTTGGTGGTGGTGGTGTTGTTGTTGTTGTTGTTGTTGTCGTCGTTGCTATTGTTGTTGTTGTTGTTATTGTTAAGGTTGGTTTTTTTTTGGTCCAATGTTTCTACAATTTGGTGTCGGAATTTATAAGTTACACATAACATGTGTCGATATGGTAGTAAATTGTTATGTTTCCAGAACGAAACACACACACACACACACACACACACACACACACACACACACACATACACACAAACGCACACACACACATTCACACACACATGCACTCACCACATACACACGCATGTACACTCACGCATACACACACACGTATACTCACACATGTACACACATGCATACAGAAGTATACACAAGTATACACAAACGCGTGCCCACACACACACACACACACACACACACACACACACACACACACACACACACAAACAAACAAACACACACACATACACACACACAAAACCAACAACTGAAAACTAAACAAAAACAAAAAGAAAAAAAGGAAACAGGAAAATTATTTAGGCTGATTAGATGATGATAGTAATTATAAAGAACAATGTTTAGTGTTGGTTTTTTCTTCGTTTGGTGCTAGATCCCTGAAGGGTCAGACACAACCCTCATTCCCAACTCCTGAAATAGATATGTTATGTCGTAGGTGATACTGTTGAAATGTTTACCCTTTAATATTACATGTACTCTGGTGGTCTAGAGGTTAAAGTGTTCCCCTCTCATTCAATAGGTCCCGAATTTGAATCCGGAGAGCGACGAAAAAAAATTTTCTCTAAAATTATCTCCTTTCACATCCTTTCCTGCTCCCTAACAATGTTCTGTATTCTGCTTTGGTGCACAATTTCTGCCCCCACCCCCTCACCTCCTTTGCCCCCTCCTCTGGGCTCCCGACTCTTTCTGCAGCCTTCTAACTGCTACTCCTAGGGTCCTTCTTACTGCGGTCTTTCATCCACACCCCTAATTTTATGGTAGGTAAGATCTACAACTAGCCTTCTCGGATACGGGCGAACAATCTCGAAGGTCCCTAGTGCAAGTTGCGCAGGTTAAAGATCCCTTGGTGGTCCAAATTCGACAAGAGTAGGCTTCAACCCTCACCTGGGAAAAATTCAAAGTTCCCTACCAAGTGAAAATACTGAATGTGTCCCGCGAGCTCATATGACCATCAGATGCGAGCGCCGAAAAACACTTACCAACAAAAAAGTAGTACTATAACTAGTACAGTAACATGAATCACTGAACCAGGGCCCTCTGCTCTGTAGCTCAGCATTGTACCAGCTCAACATGTTTGTGTGGAATAACTCAACCTCTATGTCGGTGGCAAGCTCTTCAAATATGCGAGATGTGTCTAAGGAGAGCCGTCAACAAAACCAGAAGGGACATGATCAGAAACAACAGGATCAGAGAAATGATTGGATGGGAACAATCATGTGGTGTGGACATCTGGCACGTATGACATCTCACCATTTTGCCAGCAAAACGTACTACAAAAGAATATCAGGGTACAAGTGCAGAGGAGGACCAAAGTAAACCTGGATTGAGGGTGTGAAGGATAGCCTGAAAACACACAACATCCCACCCAGCCAGGCCATCCAGCTTCCTAGAGACAGACCGCTCTTTTTCCCCTCGACGCCCAAAAGGCACGCGTTGAAGGATAAAGTAAGTAAGCAAACCCAAGAGGAACACGGGGAAGGATAAAGTAAAGTAAGTAAGTCAATCGTTCAAGTGTACTAAGCTCAATAAACTTTTTTTGGCCGTAGAGAGAGGAAAAAACCCCGTTTTATTCTTGTAATAATCTTTCCATCTTCCCCTCCTCCTACAGGCCAAGACGGCTTGACCGCCGGCTTCATGGGCGGTTTGATGAATGGCCTGATCTGCTCCTCCCAGATTCTCAACAGGAACCTGTACAAGGACCTGCAGAACTTGAAGAAGAGGCTCTACCCCCAGCTGGAGCTCATGAAGAAGAACTTGTGAGGCGTGAGTCCTGGATTAGATGGACGTGTCCGTCTAGGAGAGAAAGTGGGCCTTATGTAGTTTGCGGGCGCTTCAAAACTTTTTTTTAACGAGTTAGCGAAGAAAGTGTACGTTATACAATTAAGAGCGCTGTACAACGTTTAAACAATACTAGAGAAAAAATATGTGTTATTGTGTGAGTTTGCTCTAGGATAGAGGACGTTTCGTTTGGACATCTACTATGTACTTTCATGTCATAGACACGCGATTTTTTTCAGACTTTCAAGCAAAAGCTCGTACATACAGTTGTAATGTATTTGTATTGAACTTTAATTTTTTTTATATAGAAATAACTTGTCACGTAATTTTTTTCTTTTCCCAAAAGTTCTTTTTTTTCGTCTGAAATGAAATTTTGGATGTTGAATCCTGTTTTAGAGAGACGGTGTGCGTCACAATAAACGAAATCCCATATCTGTGTTCTCTGGTGCTACTTTTTAAAAAACAAATTGTGTGTGATTTGTGTTGGGGCTTTTATACATTTTTGGTATAAGTTCCACGGTAAACAGTACAAGGGGCTCTCGAATCCGGATAACTACGGAAACGTTTTCTTCTCTAAAATTATCTTTTACCTACTTTCCTGCTCTCTTGCAATGTTCTGCCGTCTGCTTTCGTCTCTCTACTTTCTGCCCCCACCTCCTCATCTCCTGTGCCCCCTCCTCCGGGCTCCTGACTCTTTGCGCAGCCTTTCTTCTGCTTCTCCTTGGCTCCTTTTTACTGCTGTCTTTCAGCCACACCCCTGAACTTCTGGTAGGAAAGATCTACACTTAGCCTTCTCGGACAAGGGCGAAAAATCTCGGAGGTCCCGTGTGCACCCAAGTCGCGCACGTTAAAGATCCCTTGGTGGTCTAAAATCGATAAGAGTAGGCTTCGGCCGCCATCCGGGCAAAATTCTAAATATCCTACCAACTGAAAATGTTTGGTGTGTCCCGCGCGATCATATTACCTTATGCAGTTGCGAGTGCCGTGAAACACTTACCAATTTTATTATTTTTTAAACAGCAGTACAACTTCGGAACTTTGTAAAAACAAGACGAAATGAAAGGGTGAGGGATAAAGAGACATGTTACCTTGCAGATTGGATCAAAAGAATTTTCACCTAAAACAATTTTGGGCCAAAAACTTTCAGAGCAACGACTTTCACAATAATTTTCAGTAGAAAAACTACCAGACAACTTTCAGTACAAACTGTTATAGCGACGATTTTCATAACAATTGTCAGAATGAAACTCTCAGGGCAACGATTTTCACAACTATCAGTACACAAACTACTTCAGCAACAATTTTCAGAACAGTTTACACACTGCATGCCACACTGATATATTTCAGCGAAACGACCGATCATAGCAAACAAACCAACTTACCCTGCAGTTTCTGCTAAACAGTGGCAGGACAATAGCTCATGGCACACATTATTATTCAAGCGCGGCATCTAACATAACTTTCTAGAACGAGAAACTTTCGCGATTGCTTTTGATTCCAGTGGATGAGAGACTTATTTCTCCAACAGTAAAGAGCAGATGAGGATGTTTTATCCAAAATGGCCAACAGAAACCCGGGTTTTGTCTCCTCCAGCAGCTATGGGAACTTATGAGGATTTTTTTTTATTGAGATTGACTTTGGCCAACAACCCATCTCATGAAAACTGTTAAGTTACAGAAACGAAAAACAGAAGGCGTGACCTTGACATTGTGTTGGAGAGGGGAGCAGTTCAGATAGAACTAATATGACGGTTAATAGCCCGAGGCGCTCTCTTCTGAAAACAAATAAAAATGTTAAGATGGGCTTTTGAAAAATAAGAACCATGCTTCAGACAACTAAATTGGCCCAAATCACTAAGAAACGTTCAACTACCACCTTGATACATGAGCCTGAGTGAGACACGCTGGCCTGGCCAAGGGGAAATAATATTTCTAAAGAAAAAAAAGAAAACACTACTTTACTCAAGACCAACTTAAAGCGGAAAACTCGGAGTAGGAACTCTTTTAAATGGCACAGCAAACAAAGCGCTTATTGAGTGGGAACCAGAGGACCAGAGATTATTAAAAGCAAGACTCCAAACAAAATGCAAATTAAATGTATGTACTTCAAAATAACAACAACACAATGCTATGCACCGACAAACGACCACGAATAAGAAGAAAAAGACTAAATCTGCAACGGTGTTAACAACCTATTTACAAAATTTCTCCAACATGACACACTACAGACTTCAACATAAGTTAAGGACCATTTGCAAACACCCTGAGTGGCCTTCTTGGGTCGACTTGCACAGGAGCGTTCTTGGACTGATCCAGTGGCGTGATGGCGCTGCCTCAAAGGGACAATGACAGAGTGTGACACTGCAAGCCTTCAGGCAACTTCTCGAGCTCCAACTCCATCCTGTAGCCATGCGATAGCTCTGGCACGATCAAAGTCTCTCGGCTTTCGTCTTGGTGGTATGTTGATGCGATACTGGATTTTGCGCAAACGGCGGTTTATATTGCCACCAAAGTGAGCACAGTTCGAAATCGTACGGTCTGTTTATGACGTGCACCAGAAATTTTAACTGAAGAATGTCCGTGATGTAGCGAACAAGTCAATAAAAAACAGTAAATTTTGCTAAAATTCGAGAGGATTTCCGTGCTGAACGTGGTGGTTTTGATCTTTCAGGAGACTTTGCAGTACGCAGTGTTGACCCATTAACACTTTCAGTGCAAAAATTTTGAAACATTCCTTGCTGTCTTTTTTTGGATTTAAAAAAAAAATCAGTACTGCCTGTCAAGGTGGTCCTTAACGTTTGTTGAAGTCTGTATGTGTGATAGGTGACATGAGCGCAAAAGTAGGAGAAACAGACGAAGGAACAGAAAGAACAATTGGCCAGCAGGGAGCTGGCAGTATAAACAACAATGGAGAAAGGTGGATTGAAATGTGTGAACTAAACAATCTTGTTATAGGCGGAACACTATTTCCAAACAAAGTCAACCATAAACTTACCGGGTGTTCATCAGACGGAATTACCAAAAATTGAACAGACCATTTTTGCATTAGAAAGAAATTCAAAACCTCATTAATTGATGTTCGCTCATATAGAAGGACTGGGGTAGGATCGGAACATTTCCTCTGCATTGCAACAATTATACTGAAATTGAAATGGCAAGTGGAAACAGTCACCAAAAAAGGCTTGGATTCAACAAAACTGAGAAAACCAGACGTGGCTACAGAATTAAGAATAAAACTTTCAAACAAAAATGAAGGTATACTATCAGTATTTGAAGATAGTGATGATGCATGTGAATATCTGTTGATGGCCATAAAAGAAGCATTGGTCACTACCGCGGAAGAAGTTTATGGACATGGATCAAAACCATCTGAAGAATGGATTCAAGAAGAAACATGGGAAACTGGAAAAGAAAGAAAAGAAATGAAACTTGAGATGCTGCAGGCCGAAGTAAATGATAAATTGAGACCCAGGAAAAATGCAGAGAAAAAGACCCCAAACAGAGGCGAAGCGTCTATATAATCAAATAATAACTGCTTCCCTTCCTAATTTTGAAACATTGTCGCAGTCAAATTCACCCATAGACGTAAACCTCATAAATTAAATGTAAAAAG